CTTATTTTTAAAGCATATATTTAAAGGTGATGCTCGTGTGAACCGCATCAATTCGATGATGCGGATCACACGAGCATCATCTCTATGATAAAGAACACATTAAAATGATTAAATGTGCTGCATACTTATTATTTATTATAAATATTCTAATTTAATCGATAGACTTTATAATTTAAATTAATAAGTTTTAATAAAATATAATGTAACAAATAAATAATTTCGGTTTATGATAATATTGAAAATTTATTTTGCAACGATAGATGTTGCATATTAAATACATTTAAAATTAAATTTATAAAGTGAATATACTGTACAATATTAAATTAAATATAACTTTAATTCGTTTGGAAAGTTAAATTTAGTGATTAATATTGAATTATTAGGAATTAATTAAAACAAATCGGGATTATAGAGAATATTATATACTCATAATTTATGTCAAAAGTGTAAGTTTAATAAGTAAAATTATATATATAAAAATTTTAAGCAATATGCTAATTGAGGATTAAAATTAAATATTTTCGTCTTAAATTAAAGATTTGTTTTATAAGATTTATCATTCAAATCCTAAAATAAATAACTTTTTTAATAATTGACTGTCCAAAACGAGTCTTTGAAAGGATTTTTTTTAAGAAAATAAACAAAATTCATTATATTTGCTTTACTTTTAGCATTAATTAGGCAAGAAATAGTTATAAAATGTAAAATTATTTATTAAATAACATTAAAAAACGAAGATAATTTTACTTAATTTGCGCTTCATGAAAGCTGCCATCATAATTTTCCTACAAAGAATACTTAAATATAAGAAGAATAAATAAATTTTTAAATTTAAAAAAATATATAAATAAATTAATTTATTCGAGAATTAATGTGCACATCACATAAATATTTTAAAATGAAAATACGACTAGTAGTAAGCATTAAGAATGCATAACGCTCCTCATACTCTTTGCGTAAATTGGAAAATTCAAATTTAATAAACAGGCTTTTATAATAGATTATATTAGAATATTTTATATGTAATTTTTATTAAAATATTTCAATTTTAATAAGAATTTATTTTTATTTAAGATTCATTCAGCGGCAAACAAGTCCATTTAAAATAAGCATTTACAACGAAAAAACCTCCGACATATTTTTTTTAAATCATAATTTATTCTTTAAATATATAAATAATAAGTTTAAAGGGTTTATAATAATAAATTAAAAATAAAAATAAATCGAATTTTATAAGATATATTCAATAAATGTATTAATATGATAATTTAAACTGAAGAGAAAAATACATCGATGGCGTGTATGAAAGGATTTAAGTGGAATATTGGAATTTAATGAATAAATTTTAATGATTTTTTAAGAGAAAACTTTAATAAATCATAAAATTTCTAATTATATCATTAATATGAATATTTATTTTAGTATTAAAGAGCATTGCTGGATTTGCACATAAGCCAAACAAGCTACAGCTTAGGGCCTCGAGTTATGAGTCTATAGCTTAGGGCCTGGCATTATGAGTTTATAGCTTAGGGCCTCATATTTTTACACGTATTATCGTTATTTATTTACACGTATCATTTTATTTTTGATGGAGGGGTAGGGCTTGTCGTAAACTATAGTTTATGGCCGCAACAATAAGTCCATTCATGTAAAGGGGGGGTATGATAAGTGGATAAAGTTTATTCAGTGTGTAACGAGAAATGAAAGGTATTTAAAGAGGAATCTAGTAAAAATTAAAGAGAAAAATAACTAATTAAGAAGATAAATTTTAATTTATAAAAGCATTTAAATTATTATTAACACGAAAGAGTCTAATTACGTATTCACTTTCAGTTCATAAATTCGACACCGCACGTAGCTTTATCAGGACATTAAACACCAACGACTCATCGTTCGTTATCGCCAAAATGATCCTTAATTTTACTTCTGTAAAAACCCGTAAAAGATCCTAATTATTTATAACTTAAACAGCGATTAATTTGAATTACCTTTCGTTCAAACCTCGTAAATATTTTATGAAAACGCCGGGGTTAAAGTTGAAAGGGGTCAACGACTCCCGCGTAAATTCCTCCTCCTTCTCCTTCGTTGTAACTTAAAGATTGAAGTTGCATAAATTTCATTAAAATGCTCTCTTCCTTCTCGACTCATTTCATTACCTGGCAATGTTAGAAAATTTGCATATCTTCCACTATTTAGATTGTTATCGGAGAATCGAATAACGTCATTCATCGCGATAGGTAATGCGTAACTGGTTAAATTGGACTGATAATAGCTTCCACATTTTCTGATAATGTCGTCGAATAAGATAATAAAGCATATTTGATTGTAGGAGTCGTGGGAATGACGTATAAAGATTCGATACCCCTAACTACTAGGAGGGGATTAATCACCGTCGCTTCTCTTAATTTATACAAAATGCAAAGCTTATTATAAACCCCTTTATATAATAAAATCTTTATCTTAAAAATACAAGTTAGGAAATTGGGTATAACATCGTTTATTTATTTATTTTTTCTAAAAACGGAGATTTGTAAGTTATGATGAACGTTTCGTTTCTCAATACCATTTTTCATAAACGCGCGCGACACGTCGCATACTTCTGCGCGATAGTAGAAAACACCTTATCGTTTTATTAATTTTATTAACGTAATTTAAGGAAAGAAAAACAATAAAAATTTATTTTTAATTATGTTTTAGATAGCATTTGTTTTTCATGATTTTTTAAAGAGAGTAATAATTTTAAAAATATTTTAAAGCATTATTGAAACGTCGCCTTCGGGCTGTATACGAGAATAGGCACCTGTTGAATGCGAAAATCTTCCAAAAAAATGAATAATAAAATATAAAAAATCTATCTATTATCTTACTATTCATTATAATTAACCCAATTTTCAAAAACTTAGGAGAAAATTAAGTGCAACAATAATTTTTCTACTAAAAAATATTTTTAGTTTAATTCTAATTATAACTTAATTAATATAAATACTTAATAAACTCCAATTAATATTTAATTAGTAATTAAACTCTTTAATTAAAATACACATTTTAAAAGTTTTAAATTTTAAAAAAAGTTTATAAAATACAGAATTTTAACTGGAAAAAAACATTGCGCGCGTCGCGTCGCGTCGCTGCGCGTTATCTGTGTAACAAAGCGTATAAATGGTAAAAAAATTAATTACAATAGATACACATGTGAAAAATCGTAAAAAATATACAAAACAAACTTCTCTATTTTTTTAAAAAAACGTATAGAAATGTATACAAACAATGTTTTTTTATGGATACACGCCGTAAGATATACAACGCTAGGAATTTTTTATTTATTTTTTTCATCGTCAGAAATTCCAACATTAGAATGACTTTCACGTACATTTCGCAACAATCTTTATTATATAATTTGCTGTGTTTTCAATTTCCGAGTTGCTAAGAATAGAATTTGTTATGTCAAAATCAATTTGACACTTCAAAGTCACTTAGGAATAAAGACGTGATGTTACCAATAAGCTCCGTTAATGCTGTAATATTTAATAATAGAAAGAAAAAATAAGATAGAAATTTATAAAAATTTGAAAAATAACTAATAAATTAACGAAAAATATGAAAAACATTCCAGTTTTTTCAATTGAAAAATCTGGGACTCACCTTTTTTTTAGGTATGTCAGGTATGGATTTCGGGTTTAAGAACTGCATTGCAGACTTGAAAAAATCCTTTTTTCTTCCTTTTTTTTCTTTTTTTTGTGAGAATTATACGTAATCTTATATACTGTTTGTATTTCAGAAAGAGAAAACAATGCCTGGAAGGCGAACAGGAAGATGAGATCCCTGGAGATGCGATTGTTTGGTGTGAGTAGAGAAGAAGATCGATGAAAATGAAATACTTCAAAATTTTCAAATTCTACGTGAGCTTTTATAAATTAAATAATTTACAATAATTCGTTTAGATACCAAGAATTTTCTTATAAAATAAACAAGAAAAAATAAATAATAATAATAATAATTTTCCTACAAGAATTCCATAACTTTGTATGGCGGCGGTATCTAAATTTTTATCCATTTTAAAACAAATGAGATTTTGAAATGGAAGCTCGGCGTGTGTGTCTGTGCGATAGACCTTGTTAATAAATGCTTCCATTGGTGCCTCTCTCGTAAAATATGACGATGCTATTCTCTTCTCCTCTACTCCATTGGCTTCTACTGTAAATTGGATTCATAAACTGGAAGTAAGAAATATATGTAGAATGATTAAAAGACAAAGATGTAAAAAAAGTTTTATTTATCTTACTTGTTGTTTAAACGAAGAATAGAAGTGTAGACAACGACAGGAGTTGAATAATAAAGGAAACTATGTTACATCTCAAGCATGAATGATGGAACGACGCTATTTTGTTCACTTGATGAAGTATCTTTCTTCTGCTTCAAACTACATCAAATTTCAACAGGTTCCTTCTTCATTATTCAAAGGTCGTAAATAATAAAATTCTGAAGAAGTTTTATTCAGCCAAAACTTCTTTTTAATACCTTCTAATCTCCTTTTGGAAATATGATAAATTGAAAATTTGTTATGGGGTTTTACACTTTTTTTATTACTCTGGGCTTTTTTTATTATTGTTATTATTATTATATTCTGTTTTCCAGCGTGTCTTGATTGTTAGTAATATTAATTTTGTAGTCGAGCATCTTTCAAACATTTTTTTTCTTTTTATTTTCAAACACCTTTTTTAATTATCTCAATACTTAGAATATGATTAATTTTGAAGAAGATGGTTAGGTTCTTCAAAAAACAACAGAACTTTTTTAAAAGTCTTTTGATTTTTTTTAACTTAGTTTTTTATTTTTGTGAAAGTAAATCAACATTTTAAAATGATTTTAAAAGCCGTAATTTAAATATTTTTTAGGTTTTTTAAAAATAAAAAAATGTAAATTTGTTGGTTCGGTTTGATAGGATAAGACAACGCAAAAATTGGGCGATCTGCCAAGGGGTTATTTCTCAGGAGGACTTTCTATGGGAGACTGATCCCTATATAGGTGTTAGACATGTGAAGAAAACCGAATAACTTCACGTGGCCAGGTCGTTGATGAAGTTTGAACCCGCAACGAACTTTTCCTTTTTCATCCTTTCGCTCTTTCTCTTCCTCTTTTTCTCCCTCTAGTACTTCTTCCTCATCCTCCTTTTTGTCCTCATCCTCCTCTTCCTTTTCTTCCTCTAGCACTTCACCCTCATCTTCCTCTTCCTCTTCTTCTTCCTCTAGCTCTTCCTCCTCATCCTCCTCTTCCTCTTCTTCTCCCTCTAGTTCTTTCTCCTCATCCTCCTCTTCATCCTCTTCTTCTTCCTCTAGTTCTTCTTCCTCATCCCTCTTTTTTTTCCTTCTCCTCCCCTGGAGACTAATGTTTAGTGATTTTTATCCACTCAGACACTGGTGGGTAAAAATGTAAATTAAGGAAAATTTTCTATATTATTTTTGTGTATATCAAGTGACGCAACCAAATTTTCTTTGTATAATAAATCATCTTTAGTAAAATTATTTAAAAATTTTCTTTGATAAATTTAGAATTTATCTTTTTTCCAAATAAACTTAATGCAATTTTTTACTTTTATTTTTGTTTCAAATTTATTAGAAATGTAGAAGAAAACTTTTGAATTTCAATTATATTTTCTGGTTAAACCTAAAAAGAAAAAAATTACACAAGAACAAATAAATATCTTATTTTAGATCTGATATTTTCCTGTCAAAGTTTTTAATTTAATTAACTGCTGAATTTATTTATTTATTTTTGTTTTGTTTTATAAATCTTAAAACGTATTTATTATTAATTAAATTGTTATTATTGATAATAATAATTGAAGTAATTAATTAAATTATTGATAATTTCATGCATTTTAAATTAAATTATTTAAAAGGTATAAAAATACAGCTCGTTAATGAGTAATGTGTAATATGATTTTATGAATAAAATTTTGTTACACATTACTCATTAATGCCGATCTTTTCTAAGGTATTTTTATACATATTACTCGTTAATAAGAATCTTTCAGGAATTTACGTACACATTATTCATTAATAGGGATATTTTAGGAATTTTTCTACATTTGCCCATTATCGGGATCAGTTTTAGGGAATTTTTTACACATTACTCAATAATGGAACTTTTCTACACATCTCACTAATGGAGATATTTTTTGAGGAAAATTTTTCTATACATTACCCATTAATGGGAGGTCACTTTTGAGAAATTATATTAAGCATTAATGGAAATATATTTGGCAAGAATACGAAGAAATTCTGTTTTACATTTTGCCAACGTTTCTAAGTAAAACCACTCTCAGATCCATTAAAACTGCATTCAAAATAAGCAACTAAATCTTAATATATATATTTTTTTAAATTTGAAGTTAAAGAAAGAATATATTTTATATAACATTTACGAATGTTTTTCATTTTCGAATTGATCAAAAATTACGTAAGAAAACGGGAATAAAACATTTGGTTCATTAGAAATGTTTTGTTAATTTCGACTGTCAACTATTGAAGAGTATGCAATGAAAGAGCATCTGTCAACGGTGTGAAAAGTCAGTTTTAAAGGAAAAAAAATAAAAGAGATGGTTCAATATCCAAGTTGAGTGGCATTCGCTGTCACAGGCGTCACTTAAAACTACGTCCCTAAGCCTTTATCCCAATATATTGTTGACATTTTTCTACTTGGAGTTTTTTCTTGGATGAATCTTTTGCAAGTCGATTTTGATGGTGGATTGAAGAAGATGGAGTTGCCCCCTCTTCTTCTTCTTCTTCTTTTTTTCATTTCTTTTTCTTCGTTCTTTCATCTCGGAAAATTAAAGTTGGCAACAAATCTTGAATATTTAATATATTCTGATGCGCTGTTTAATTTTTAATGCCTTCATGAATTTAAAAGCGTTAATGTATCGGTCTGTTCGTGATGAAGTTTCTTCGAAATCTTGAGTTATTTCGATGAAATTTAAAAAAAAATTTCTTAGTAAAATTGTTTAAAATTTATCTTAAATGTTTTTCTTTTTAAAAATTTAAGAATTTAGAAGAATTTAAAGAGTTTTATTTCAAAATTTATTTATTTTTTAAAAGAAGTACAAAATTAAAATTTATTATTTTGAGTAGGAAAAATGAATATAAATTCGAGAAATTATAAATTTTGATAAATTTCTGATGGCTTTTTTTACAAAAATTTATTATTTATCGAAGTGGTTTTAAAATTTAAATAATGGTTTATGAGATAATTCCACTCTAAATAAAAAAAATAAATAAAAAAGAATTAAAAATAATAATAAATTAGGAAATTTATTTTAGCTTGGCTTTGAAAGGCGAAAGAAGAGAAAGACAATGACTTTCTGCTAAATTTTTGTTATAATTAGAGGCGTGAAAAATAAATTAATCATGCGAATAATAAAGAAAATAAATAAATAAGATAGCGCTTGCATAAGAAGTGATGGAAAGATTTTGGTAATCGATAGACGAGCAGCTAACAAGATTGCAAGATCAAAAGGTGAATTCTGCAGCAGCAGTTGCCAGAAATTCGATTATCTTCTCACATAAACAGAAGCAGCGAGAGGTGAAGAGAAAATTACGGTTTGGCTGACACAGCAATCAAAGAAACCATCAAAAGATAACTTGAAGTAATCATCGTTTTATAACTAAAAATAGCAAAATGATATTAAATGTGCCGCTTGGGTGTTTTTAGAAAGATTGGGCGTAAACACGAGAGAGTGTGGCTTAAGAAATAAGTAAATGCACATACCTGCTAACGGGCTCTGTTTATTTTTGAATTTGGTAGAAGCTGAAGAATGATAAAGTTCAATCGACGTTAGGAACGAAGATGCTGAAGAGAAAACAAGTTGAGAAAGCCCCAGAGAAGCTAAATAAAGAAGCCATCCTGAAGGAATTTGGATAAGAAAGAAAGCATTAAAAAAATCTACCAGTGGACCTCGAAAATGATGAAGTTCGGAAACTACTAAATGGATTTTTTGGAAGAAGGAAGACGGAACAACTTATTCAAATAGTTTAAATGTTCTCTATTTTGTAAATTTAATAGAGTTTTTAAACTTGTTTATGTAAGTTTTTCTAAAGTGTTAAATTGATGTCGAAGAAATGAAAACAGTGTTTTCAAGTACCCTTTACTAACTACGCCAGGAATTTTAAGTGCAACTTTTCTATTCCACTGTTTCAAAATGGCGGATCTTCAATATGTAACCTAAAATTTTAATATACATACGAATGAAATTTTATTTTTATGTATACGTTACTGTAATATAAAGTAATATAGATATGAAATATAGGTTTTATTGCTAAAGTGAAGCTATAAAATGCTGCATTTTACCAAAGTAAAAATCAAATATTCTTGATAAACAAGTAACATTAATGTATAAACTTAGAAAAAGTCGTAAATAAGAGCATATTGAATCTAAGCAGAATTACATTTACTCAAAACCTAAATAAGTAGGCTATCAGTTTAGGGTCTCGTATTTTAAATTTATTATTATTAAAAGGTCCTAGTATATAGGGCCTAAACTAATCAAGAAGCAACCATGAAAATCTTTAATTTTTTCATATGCCCGTCTATCGAACGGATAATATTCTTAATAAACTGCATATCTAACTAGTAGAGGTCTAATTTGTATAGTATAACTTATATTTTGGGTATTTTTTAAGTATATATAATGACAAATCATTCAGTTGAAACGTGGACTGGTGAAATGTTCTCTTTCATAATGAAAGGAGTATAAAAAAAAGACATTATGTTATGTAGAAAGAAGCAATGAAATGTCTTTTTTATACTACGAAAAATAATATTAGAGCAATTTAAATTCAAAAAAAATTTTTAAATAGATTTGAATTCAATTGTAACGAAACAAAATGGCGGCCGATCAAACACGCCTTCCAATGATAAATGGCCTAAAAATAGCCTTAAATAAAGATTGTCTTAATACTTTATATACAGTAAATTTTACTTATAAGTCCTCTTTAAAAATAATTATAGAAAAAAAAAAAAGAAAGTAATCGTTTATTGAAACTGCATTCCTTCACTAACTAGTTATAAATGATTTAAGATGAATCAAAATATATTAAATTTACTGAAGCAGAAATCACTTGATGACTTCCTTAAAAAAAATCTCTTAATGTAAAATGTAAAACATAATACAGAAATCATTTCTTACTTTAACAGATTATCGTTTTTCTTTATTAATTTTTATTATATTTACAGAGAAACAACTGTAAATAACACTTCAATAGACTAGAATATATTGTTTAAACATTAATAGCTTCGTATAATATTATTTTTATATATAAAAATCTCAATTATTTTTTAATAAAAAGAAGCCTTCAATAACTTTTAAGAAAGCATCTTGTCTTCTTAGAGAATAAAAGTAAAAAAAAAAAAAATGGAAGAAAATCATCTCGTTCTAGCAACTGATCCATGAAATTGCTTCGGTTTAAAAACGACTTGAAGTTTTCTGTATTAGTGACAGTTTTAAAATATTTTATTATCTTAATCGTCTTTAATAAAGAAAAAAACACATCTAAGATCTAAAGTTAGAGATTAGAAGAGAGGAAGAAAAAAAAGGGGGAAAGTAAGATACCATTTCAACTTTTTTAAGTTCTAGATGATGATCTAAAGTTAGAAAAACTCGACTTTTTAACAAAGAGCATAAATCCTATTCGCATAATGAAAATTTAAAATTGTAACAGGCAAAGAATAACTATTATTAACCATGATAACTAGGTTAATGGAAGAGAATAAGAACTGGTTCGTGACTTCTACTTTCTGTAATTGTGTATATTTGAATTATAAGATTCGTATCTTTTGTAAAATATTATAAAAAAATAAGTTCGTTTTTATTCTTTTTCTTTTTCTGAATAAATTTTATTGTAGATTTTCACAAAAATATCAGAGGTTTTTATGTTTAATAGCGGCTATCCGTTTAGAATAGCCGGAAAAAGATTCCCTCCGTGATTATGATATTTCTGCAAAAACTTATCTTGTTTAGTCTACAAAGTTTGCTTTTTGCATAATGCAATCTCGAGAAAACTTTAAATATACCAGAAAAAAAGCACAGATAACAAGAAAAAATTTGGAAATTTTGTTACAAAAGAATCTTCGTTAAATTATGAAATTTTAGCGCTTCACAAGTTTACAATATAGAAAATCGTAGGAACCAAGCGAACAAACCACAGCTTATATAAAACTAAGAATTAAATATGACAAGCAATTTATGTTTCGAGGAGTCTTTAAACTCCTCGAAACTTTCATTTCCATTTGTAATGATTCTATGCTTGTAAATCTTTTAATTGAATCTCAGAATGGTTTTGGCAATCTGAATTCTTGACAGCATCAGAAAAAATGAATATTA